CGAAGGCCCCAAGAGGCAGGTTGTCTCCTCCTTCGCCTTTCCCCTCGCCCCCCCCGCAGGCCCCAGGGATGGCCTGAAGAGGACCTCCAGGGCCACCCCCTTGCTCCCAGGGGTCTGTCCGTTCATTCTGGCTGCCGCTCTGTTTCACTATGCGCGTCTCCTCGTCCATTTCCCCCAAGAATCTCCTGGGCAACGCTTCTGAACGGGCTGATGTAAACTTTTTGATCGCGACTGCGGCGAACAAAAAACGGGCGGCGTCCAGGAGCGTAGCACACGGGCAACGGCCTAAATTCGCGCACAGGGAAAAGAAAGGGCGAAAAGAGACAAGAGAAAGCAGGAGGGGAACAACCAGGAGGCGAGCCTCGCTGCCGCTCACAGGAGGGCAGCAGACAGGATACGCGAAGCGTGCAGCAATAAGATGGATGCTGGCTCCCGGGTCCACAATCGCCCGCGCTCCCGAAGACACAAACTCGGGGGCGGCCAAGAGGGGGGCGTTCAAGAGGGTGGGGTGTAGATCATGCCCGGCGGCATGCGCGCGGCCAAAGGGGGGGGCCAGGGACGTAATGAAACAAGCAGAGGCGCCATGGAATGTTGGGAAACATGGCCCACGCCATGATATCCCCCCCCTAGTCATCACCCCCCCTTCGCCGCCCCCGACAGTGCCTCCGATGTTAGGAGACCTTCGCGCTCCCGGGGCTGCAGCCCTGAAATCTATGACTTCCAGTGCGCCCCTGCCGAGGCCGGAGCCCAGTGGCAAGCTGCCACGTAGATTCGCGAGGCCAAATGAAGGGGGCCCAGGGACACACAAATAAATGGACACAAGTAACATGATCCCCCATAGTTTCCCATATTTGTTTGGTTCGTCTTCCCCCCAGTCTCCATATTTTCGCATGTTCCCCTGGGGCTCGACGATTATGTGTCTGTGTGTTTTTGCCCCTCCTGACCAAAGTCCTTTTGAAATTACAGCGGTTTCGCGTTTTCACATTCTACACTCCCTCGTAAGACAACAACACATGCGCGCTCCCTCCTGCACATTGCGAAGCGTGGCGTGCCCTCCCCTAATACTCCATCACAATCCCGCAGCTGGACGCCACAGCCGAAAAAGCAGCCGCTCTCTGCTTAAGCTTGTGCTCTGTTGTTGGGGTCCGTCTCGTCCCCCCGCCGTTTCTCAAAACGAAACCCCGAAAACACGGAGTGACGCAAGGAACCCAACGTCAACGCCTTGTCCTCCTTCTCCTCCTCCTTCTCCTCGTCCTCCTAATCTTTCTCCTCATTCTCCACCTCCTAATCCTCTCTCCTCCTCTCTCCTCCTCCTTCTCCTCCTTCTCCACCTCCAACGTCAACCCCAACCGCGCGACCACCCGTCGGTGAAAGATTCGGGCAGAACTGGGTTTAGCGGGACCTGAATAGTGATGTGTACTGGGGGACGCCCCCCCGCCCCGTTCCACTGATCGGAACTGCCGTCACCCGAACAAAAACACCACCTACGGCAGACCTGGTTTAGAGATTGCTCTGGGGACTAACAATGTACCCTTACCTAGGGTCCTGGCTATATCCGAAAGAGGGAGGGTGCGCCGCTGGATCTCCCCAACCTTTCCCCGATCCGTCGTCGGGGAACTCCCCCCCCCCTTCCCGATCCGTCGTCGGGGAACGCCCCCCACCCTCCCCCCCTTTCCCGATCCGTCGTCGGGGAACCCACCCACCCCTCCCTCCCTTTCGTAAGGGAGGGTGGGGAGGGGAAGGGTCCGAACCCCTCCCTCACCCTTAGGCCGCCGAGTTCGACCCCCCCCCCCTCATTTCGCCACGGCGCTCCCGGGCTCCGGAACCCGACCCCTGCCACCCCTAACGCTAATCCTCACCCTGACCCAAGCCTCCAACCCTAACCCCGAACCCTAACCCTAACCCCAAAGAGTACTCACTACTCATTACGCATCACCCACTACCCACTTCTCACTACTCGCTACTCTCTACCCACTTCTCACTACTCGCTACACACGACTCACTACTCACTACCCACTACTCACCACGCACTACCCACTGCTCCCTACTCCCTACTCAAAATTCACGACTCACTGTCCACTATTCAATAGTCACGACCCACTGAACACAACTCACTACCCACTACGCACTAATCACACAAATCACAGCTCACTACCCACAAACGACTATGCACTACTCACTAATCACACTTCACTACTCACAACTCATTGCCCACAACTCACCATCCACTACTTGCTACTCCCTACTCGCTACACAATACCCCCTACTCACTATTCACTACTCGCTACTCCCTACACCCTACTCGCTACCCAATACTCACCACTCACTACCAACTACTCACTACGCACTACTCCCTACTCGCTACTTCAAACTCATTACTCACTAGTCAGGACTCAATGCTCACTACTCACTGAACACGACTCACTGCCCACTAGTCCCCACTCACTAAGCAATGCTCACTACCCACTAACCACTATCCGCTACTGACTACTGAATGCTCACAGTTCACTACTCACTACTCACTGCCCACAAGTCGCTACTCACTAGCTGCTGCTCGCTACTCGCTACTCCCTACACAATACTCACTGGTCACTACTGACTATTCCCTACCCGCTGCTCCCTACTCCCTACTCGCTACCCACTAGGCACTAGTCACTGGACACAAGTCGCTACGCTACTCACTTCTCGCTGCTCAGTACTCACTGCTCACTACTATCGACTCATTACCCACTACCCACTACGCACTACTCACTACGCAATGTTCACAACCCTCTATGCTCTTCTAACTTCTTACTACGCACTGGTCCCGACTCCCTACTCCCTACTCACTACT